ATATATATATATATGTATGTATATGTATGATGGTAGAAGTGGTTGTGTGCCTTCAAGTCAGTTCCAACTAATAGTAACCTATAAGGGTTTAGAAAGCTGTAAATCTTTATAGGAGCAGAAAGCCTCATCTTTCTCCTGCAGAGCAGCTGGACTTCACAGTTAGCAGCCCAACGCATACATAACCTACTGTGCTACTAAAGCTTTATGTAACAGGAGTCCTGTATATGTGTGTGTATGTATGTATGTATGTATACATATAGATATGTGATAAAAAATGTTTAATATGGCAACAAAGTATAAATATACTTAATACAGTTAGAGTGGGGTCCTAGTGTGGTACTACTGTAGGATAAGTACTGGACAGTGAACCACAAGGTCAGCGGTTCAAACCCACCAGATGCTCCTCAGAAACCCTATACATGGTCTATGTGAGTTGGAACCTACTCTACGGCACTTAAAAGCAACAATACTTTATATGGAGTGCTTTGAAAATCGATAGGAAGAACACCATGATCTCAATAAGAACATAAGAATAGGATATAGACATTTTACATTGGCTAGTAGATTTAAGAAAATATATCCAAGCCTCAAAAGTTACTTTTAAAAATCAAATGAAAAAACACCAGAGATGACTTTTCACTTTTTAAATCAGCAAGGTGGGAAATATGATTCGTACCATCTCGTCATGGGGTCCAGTGAGCCAGGCATTCTCCCACACTGCTAGCCAAGATACAAACTGGTACAGTCTTTGTGGAAAGCAATTTGTCATTTTGGAAATTTGTTCTAAGAGCCTTTCAAATGTTCATATTTGATTCTTTGACACAATAATTCTACTTCAAAGAATCTGTCTTAACAAAACAATGAGATGAGCACAAAGATTTGGGCACAGACATTAATCCAAGAAGTATTTCTGAGCATCTGCTCTGTGCGGGACCTGCCTTGGGAGTTGTGTGAACAAGGCAAATGTGAGTCCTGCCTTTAAGGAGATTATCATATATTAGTTTAAAAAGAATGCTAATTGCATGTTATTTCTAGAATGCAACCTCTGAAAACGACCTAAGTACCAAACACTCGGGAATGGGGAAATAAATTATGGCATTTTCAATAAAGTCATTAAAAATTTCAAGGAACTTTTGAAAGAATTCATACTGACATGGGGAAATGCTCATGTTAAAATCCTAAGGGCACAAATTAAATCATGATGCAAAAATTGTATTTTTACATAATTGCAATACAATATTATTACAATTGTGTAAAAATAAATATTCATTTGAAAAATACTAGAAGGAAATATATGAGCATATTAGCACTGGTAATTTTGTATCTTTTTCTAAAAGTCGGAAATCTGAGCCCTAGTCTTCGCTCCTCCACCATCTCCTAATATGTGACTTTGTGCAAATTACTTAAATCTCTTAAATGTTCATTTTTAATTTATAAAACGGAGTCATAAGTCTGACCCTGACTCTCTCCAACTACTCAAATTAGATAGCACGTGTGTATATTGAAGCTCTAAACTAATATCAGGTACCATTACTTTTTAGCAAAGAAGAGTGATTAGATCTGAAAGAATGGGCCCTTTTCTTTTACTTTTCCATGTCTCTTCGCTCCCTCAGATTCCTATATAATACAAGGCTCATTTGGGGGAACTTGTTCTTGTCTTGTCTCATTTGCCCCAATTACTTACTTTGCATCTTTGCCATATTTATGTGCACATTAACCCACACTTATTGATCAGATCTCATTTAACATAATTTAAATATATCTATTCTAAAATTATTTATGAACTGGGTGTGGATTGGGACTATCTTGAGTTTTTAGGAAATTATAAAACTCTGATTTCTTCACTCCCAACATAATCTTTTGCCATAAGAATGTATAGACATATAAACTGGGCTGCCTTAAAACCAAAGATTTGTTCCGGAAAACACTCTATAATCCCTTGGATGGATAACATCTGGAACTAAAATATTCTTCCCACAACCATTAAGCTGTGAGTGTAAACTCATCTCCAAAGAGAAGACCACCCACCTGAGGCCTTGTGTGGTACTGTTCCCAGCAGAGGTACACTGACTGTTGGATCTGCCATGATGCCTTTATCCAAGGAGCGTAAGGACAGGAATTCATAGAAGTATTCCGCCTACAACAAGAGGCATTGACAATTAGTCCCATGGAAACCAACAAAGTGAGAAGGCACTTCTCAGCTCATCATCTGTCTGATGAGAGTGACATTTTTCACCATGGGAACTCTGCAGCACATGACATACTATGCTGACATAACTTTTCCTTCTGTGGTTTAAAACTATAGAATTAGAACCTCTGTTTGGAGAGAAGCGATCCCCTAAAACCATTAAAAACATTATATTCACACAAAGCAGCCTTTGAGCTTAAATTACGAATCGGGCTGTGAACCGCAAGGTCAGCAGTTCGAAACTACCAGCGGTTCCGCGGGAGAAAGAAGAGGTGTTCTGCTCCCGTAAAGATTTACAGCCTCGGAAACCCTGTGCAGGGTTGCTATGAGTCGGAACTGACTCCACGGCACTTAACAACAACAACAACAAAAAGACACTGAGAATAAACTGCTCTCAAAGAAACAAGTGTTACCAATACAATCTTAAACTAAACCATAGGGAATTCATTTCAGCTCTCATGGGTCATTCTTTAAGATCTTTTCAGTCTGAAGTGCACCTTTTGATGAGCATTGGGAGAGCTGTAACAAAGAGGGGGCAAGGAAAACTTCAACCTAAATAGCAAAAGAAAGTATTAAAGTCCAAAATGTGACGACCTTACTATTAGCATTTATTTTTCTGTCCCATTACCTTTGAAAGGTTAATATTTAATATCTCAATTTAATTATCAAGATAAAGGTCTAAAATGCAAAAGTCACTACTTCAATATGCTGTTAAAGTGTCATCGAGTTGGTTCTGACTCATAGCAACCTTGCATAGGGTTTCTAAGAAGCAACTGGTGGGTTTGAACCACCAACCTTGAGGTTAGCAGTCAAGTGCTTATCCTACAGTGCCACACCAGAAATTCAATTTAACATGCTAAAAAAAAAACTTAACATTGTAAAAATATTCATTTTCACATTAAATCTTTACTTGAGAAAATGATTCTTGCATTCTCTCATTGTAAAGCATTGATTAATTGATTCTCAACTGGGTTATTAAAAAGAGTTTATAGATAGAATGTGTTATTGCTTAGAAATAAAGAAAAATCAATGCATAGCACAAATATTAAAGTAGCAGGCAAATTGAATGGCTCTGCCGCTATCTGTAGAAATCTCCACAATTCAGATGGGTTCATTTTTAAAAAATAATCATATAAATGTGAATTAGCAGATTTAAAAAAACATTACATTTTATTACATGTTAATATACAACTTATTTCCAACATAGACAATATTGGAGCACTGCAGGATAAGCACTGACCCACAAGGTCAGTTTGAACTGCAAGGTTGGCAGTTCAAACCCACCAGCTGCACCTTGGAAACCCTACACAGGGTCGCTATGCATGGTAACCAACTCAAAGGCAACAACATAATAGACATTGAAATAACTTTAATCTTTTAAACCATCCTCATAATACCAAGTGTAGAAGGTGTTTCAAAAAATCCCTGTTGCTGTCCTGACACTGTAATTCACAGCAAACCTACAGGGCTGAGTAGAACTTTGCCTATTCCACAGAGTTTGCAAAGCTGTAAATCTTTACAGATTTACTCCCACAGAGCAGCTGGTGGATTCAAACCAATGACCTTTCAGTTGACAGCCAAGGCTTCTTGTATACAGTGTTAAGAGTTTCGTATGAGAATAATAATCTCAAGGGTTAGACTCAACTGGTATAGGGACATTGTCCACATCTGCAGTGAGTTGAAAAATACTTCAAAGGAGTTCCTTCCTTGACCCAATTCCCACTGCATTCCTTCTCTGAGTGGTCGAAGTGTTTCTACTGCTAATGGTTCCCTGGGTGAGTAGCAGGATTGTGTGAATTCAATTCATTAGTTGGGGCCCTGAGGCTCAAGGGTCCTAAAACAGGTAATTCCTACCCTGTCTAAGGCAAGGCAGAGGATTGAAGGAAGTCTGACAACAGGAGTGCTATCAGGAAACGCAATTCAATTTGGAATGAATTCCTTCGAAAAAGGAAAACTTGTTTCTCTGACTATAGAAAACCACCGACTATTAAAAGCAGACTGCCTCTTCAACTGCTTATCATGAATCCAGGTGCTTTAAGTGACTTCTACACTGAGCTTTCCCCTACACTTCACTAGGTAATAATTATCATCTACCATTTTGTTCTGAAATGTATGTTACTTACCATTCTGAAAGGATTTGGTGCTAGATACCCTTGTAATTAGTAACTTTAGGATTATTTAGATTTCAAATACAGTTAAAAACAACAAGCAACAATAACATAACAAACACATGTAAGGTGTACCATGTCCCAAGACTTATTCTAAATACTAATTCTAAACACTTAACTGTACATATAAGGAAAGGACGGTCAAGAACTAAGTAGATAGTGAGCAGAATTGGAAACTACAACACTTCAGTGGCTGTATCACTTCAAATGCCACATAGTAAGTAGTGGTCATTGTTGTTGTTGTTGTTAAGTGCCGTCGAGTCGGTTCCGACCCATAGCGACCCTGTACAGGGTTTCCGAGGGTGTAAATCCTTACGGGAGTAGAAAGCCTCATCTTTCTCCCGCAGAGCAGCTGGTAGTTTCGAACCGCTGACCTTAAGGTTCGCAGCCCGATTCGTAACCACTACGCTACCAGAGCTCTAGTGGTCATTGGTGACCCCATAATCATGTTTCAACTTTATCACGTCATACAATAAAACTACCTTGATACAGGTGATATATTTTTTTTTAATTCCATTTGTAAAAACGAGTATCTCCAAAAGAAATCTTTTTTTATTGTTGCTTTAAAAATCCTTTTTCCCATTTGTAAGAAAAATGTGTGACAAACATCAAAATTAAAACAATGATTGTGTAATCAATTGTGGCAACCCAATTTTCTTCTTCTTTTTCTCTCTTTCCCAACAGTTTTACATCTGTTTCCATACCTTTTATAGTGAAATGAATGCTTGTTTTTAAATAAACACTAATAGGGTAGCCTACTTTTAGATCTGTGAGACTGACGCCAATCTTTGGATCTATTTGTATAACTCTGACCACAGATGAAATATTCTTCTGAAATATGTAGTGTGACCATGCTTACACAGCAATTTGATTGAACTCTCTTGCATGACTCCTTGAAGAAGTGGCTCAAGAAAACAACCCTCAGTATCACGGTACCTTATGATGGTCCCTTTCAAATCCTTTTGATGATGTTCAAAGAATGGGGAAATGAAAGCATTTCACTCAGACCCCAGAAACATAACTTCATAGAGGCTTCAGGTCTCTTGTTGTTGCTTGTGTGTGGCCACATGGATATATCAAACAGGCTGAGAAGCATAGAATGAATCCATTATATTCAGTATCAGAGACTTTGTCATTAACACTAATGTGGCTGCCAGTAAGATACAGTTACATTTAATGAACTTCTCAGGATAGCCAATATTTCAGACTTATCAATAACAAATTTCACACCAGACGTCTTAGAGCGCCCTTTTGGTTTTCTTCAGAATCAGTATTGCAATTCTAAGACTGTAACATAGAACAAAAATTTATCAGAACAGTTTCTTGCTTGGATCTTATCAGCAAAAAGCAGTTGTGAGAGAAAGCTCTTTGTCTTTCTTGCTGAAGATGATAATGATGACTCTATTACTTCCTTTATACTCAGTATATTCGGGGGCGAGGGGGTGCATTGTCCATGAACTGCTTTCATTGCCGTCTTAAAAACGCTAGCTAGAAAATCACTTCAAAACTGATTAGCACTTGGTGTCTGATCTTTACACTGACTTCTTTCAAAATTTTACTTTGCCATTGTAAATAAATCTACCTAAACCATCCATGCCATTCCTACAAACGTATTATTATCACCATGAGGTAGAGAGTAAATACAGGGAGGCTTCAAAAAGTTAGCAGGAAAATGGAATTAAAAGATGGATGGAATTTTTTCACGCACTTTTTGAAACCCCTTCATATATCCTTCACTTAAACTCAGGGCTTAAGTATTTCCCCCAAAACCATAGCAAATAGTTGATGAAAGAAAAGATAGATTTATAATGCCATATTCTAACTTTTAGACAGAAATTTCTGTTTTTACTTCATAAATATTCGTAGACCCAATTCTCTTCATTGGAAAAACTTATTTGGGGGCAAATGAAACCCTAAATTCCATGCCAAAGAAAACAGAGAGCTAGCTTTTAAAGTTTGGGAACAAGTTTCACAAATTGTAGATTTATTACTTAGATAAAAGGAACTCAGAGCATGAAATGTAATAGGGAAATAGTGTATTGGAGAGCATGAAACTTCTATTAAGAAAAGGTACATTTTGTTTCATTAAATGACACTAATGGAAACTCAGGTAGAGGCAAGTAAGGTACTTATTGGGGGAACACATAAAGAGATTGCCTTGTATTCAAACAAAGAATGGGTCTATTCAGGAGAATAATTCACTTCTAAATTAAGTTGTTGAAACTTTTTTCTGGCTTGGTTTGGCATGTAGTAAATTTTCTTTTCATAGACAAGTATAAAAGACACCCAAATATTATCAAGAGAGAAGTTCTGGAGACCATTAAACTTGTTTCCAAGTAACTTGGCTGAATATTAGGATCATTCCTTCCAGAACAGATGAAGCCATCATTTAAACAGCAAAATGGAACAACTCCTAAGGCCTTCTCTCTGGCACTCTTCTTTTGGGTGGACATGGAGAGAGGAAGCAGAGAATTGCAATAATCATTGGAAGGAATGGAGAGAATCCAGTGTTTCTGTTCCACCTTTGAAGTCCTAGGTTTATGGTGTACATTTAATCTAATAAAGCACAATAATTATAGGAACCTCTGAGCTAAGAATCAAAGGTTCTTCATAAAAGTACAGCTCTCAAACCTCTTTTCACTTGATAGATCACGATGCTGACCTAAAAGTTCATGGGAGAATACCAAAAAAATTAAAGTTATCATCTTGATTTCAAAGAAAATTTTAGACACGTTATAGATACAAAACATATAGAAGCTTAGTTACCTAGTGCTGCTATAA